TTCCCTTCTGGTCCTGACGATGGACCCATGCAAGGTAACTGCAATCATAAAATGGGCTGCTCCACAAAAAATGTTCAGCGAGTCCAGTATTTCCTGGTGTTTGCTGATTTCTACGGATGATTTGTAAAAGGTTTTGTACACTCAATAGCCCCATTCACCATGCCCCTTAAGGAGAAGATGGTCTTCAAATGGTCCCAGAAAGCTCAAGCAGCCTTTGAATCACTAAAGACATTTACCTCTTCACCCATTCTGGTACATCAAAATAATTTATGGTAGGAGCCAACTCATCAAGCTGTGCCAAAAGGGCATATTCTGTCTCAGCCCTCAGACTCTGAGGCAGCTGTCTCCTTTTGCCTTCTACTCCCAGGCCCTCATACAGTCCACGAAGAAATATTACATCTGGGATTGAGAGCTGCTTGCTACTAACGCAGCCTTTGAAAAGCGGTGGTACCTTCTGGAAAAGACCCACTACCCAGCTGAAGTGAAAACAGGCCACAAGAATTTGGAATACCCCCAGACAAGTTTGAAACTGAACTCATGTCAAGTCTGCTGGTCAATATTCTTTTCCTGGGTTGTTTCTGTGGTCACTTATTGTCCACATACTAAGAATCACAAGGCAGATGTATTGCCCTGTAAAGATGAACACTCTATGCTAAACCCATCATCCCTTTTCTACCATCCTCCAATCCAAGAACTTTATTCAAGGTACCACTCCAAAAAGTCTTCTTTCTTGCATCTACGCAGCCCTCGTTGATGACCCTAAAGAACTGTGCTAGGCAACAGTTCCATCCAAACCCGACTCCCAGGGGCACCATAGTTTCCTGTTCCTCTAGCATCACCCTGATATTCCTGAAGGACTCCTAAGACCCAAAATACTAAAGCTCTGATATAACATGCCACCTGCTGGCCAGCTTGGGAGCTCTAAAACACAGCCATTGGTCTCTTCACAGTTCTGGTAGCCAAGGATGAATCTAGATATATTGTTTAATGTCTGCTCTTGTGCTGTGTGCACCAGAACTAAAAAAAAGAAAACCCAAAAACCTGTGGGTCTTTTCCAGCTCTTTCCCACTCCCCCATTACCATGGTCAACTATACCTATGGACAGGTCCATCCCTTTGGGGTGGCAGTGAATCGGCCCTGCGCATTGGGGGTCCTGTGGAACTGGGCAGAGCAGCCGCAGCGACTCCACGCTGCTGCCGCCGGCTTCCACGGCTCCCGCCACTGCCAATGGCAACGGCAGCTTCTACGGGTCCAGGGTGCGTGGGATCAGGGTCCTGCATGAGCTGATTTGCCCTGGGCCCTACACCCTGCTCAAGTCGACTCTGCCTGTGGATTTAATTGTAGATCTCCCACTCTGAGGACTGCTCAACAATTATGTTGACTGGTTGATTAAAACAACCTATTTCATCCCTTTTCAGGCTACTCCTACAGCAAGTGAAACTTGTTAACTTGTTCCTGGGATATGTTTTCAGCTTCATGGCTGTCTGACTCAAGTAATTTCAAATCACGACCCCCAGTTTGTCTCACTTTTCTAGCACAAGTTTTGCAAGGCTTTGGACATGGAAGACATTCATTTGTCTGTGCACCACCCCTAGACATGTGGGTAGACAAAGCATATAAATCATAACCTTGAACAATACCTCAAGTGTTCTTTGAACTATCATCAAGATAACTGGGTAGCCTTGCTACCCTTGGTGGAATTTGTTTGTAATAATCTTTTCCATGCCTCCAAACCAAACCCTGTATTTTTTCTAATTATGTGTCCCACCTCCAGCTTCATCCAGTACTGTCTGCTTTCCCTCAACCTGCCATAGGTGAGGTCATTCTGGAAGTCACTGAATAGATAAATCCCTTCACTTTTAAACCTCAACTGCCTGGACCTCTGACAGTACACCCAGTCTTTCACATGCCTTTCATAAAATCATAGAAAATTAAGATTGGAAAGGACCTCAGGAGGTCATCTAGTCCAACCCCTGCTTAAAGCAGGACCAGCCCCAACTAAATCATTCCAGCCAGGGCTTTGTTGAGTCCGTCCTTAAAAACCTCCAAGGATGAGGAGTCCACCACCTCTCTAGGTAACCTGTTTCAGTTTTTTACCACCCTCCTCGGGAGAAAGTTTTTCCTAATCTCCAACTTAAACTTCCCTTGCTGCAACTTGAGACCCCTGCTCCGTGTTTCATCATCTGCCACCACTGAGAGCAATCTAGCTCCATCTTCTTTATAACCACTGTTCAGGTAGTTAAAGGCTGCTATCAAATCCCCCCCTCAGTCTTTTCTTCTGCAGACCAAATAAGCCCAGTTCCCTCAGCCTGTCCTCATAAGTCATGTCCCCCAGCCCCCTCACCATTTTCTTTGCCCTCTGCTGGACTCTCTCCAACTTGTCTATATCCTTTGTATGGGGGGGGGGGGGTACAAAACTGGACACAATACTCCAGATGTGGCTTCATCAGTGCAGAATAGAGGTTCTGTTCAAACCTTATACTGAAGGCCCTTTTCCCAATGGAAAGACCTACCAATAATAGTTGAAGGGATCAAAGAATGCACTGATAGATAGATTTTAGACTCCAAATGAGTTTAGGGGAAGAACGGTCTTGGGAACAGACAGTCATGTCCATAATCCTGATCTGGTGTAGGTTTTCCACCAAGAGTACCCAGAAAAGCCTAGACCTGAGCTACCTAACTGGCAGCCTCACCCAGCTAATGAATCAGCTGGTCACTTTTAGGGCTTCCTGATTGACTGCTAGAGATAGCAGCCTCCCTATTTAAGTCCATCTGGGGCAGCAAACTGCAGGATAGCCAATAGTTCTACCTGAAGGTCTACTGTGGCAACCCTCTTTGGTTCTTGTGCTCTTTGGTTTTCTGGTTTCTGACCCAGCTCAGCTCTGCTTCTGGACTCTGGCTTTTGGGAACTCCTCTCGGCTTTGGAATTTTAGTCCCTAACTTGGCCAGTGACCTGGACTCCACCTCTGGAATACCCCCTGGGATTTGGTAACTTGGACTCTAACTCCCATCCCCACCTGTGTAGCTCTGGACTGTCCAACTCCTGACTTTAGCCCTTCTCTGGTGGCCCATTCACTAGACTAAACCACCTATGGCTGGTCCATATATCAGGCAAGTGATCAGCTCAGGATTTCAAATAAAAATGTAATTATAATTAGTTTAATTAAATTAGCTTATGGCATATGATGCCATCATCACCGGTGAACAGCTGAATAAAAAAGTTTTCAAAGACAAATGTAAATTGCACTGATAACTCAGGCTAGGAAGCAAGGGAAGCTGACAATGAACTTGTAATACCATGTTTTCCAGAACTGCAATGGGTGCTACAAATCAGAAACATTTGTCACAAGCTAGTTTGTTGCCATCGATTTCCTGGACACTATTAAAACCTGACTAGGTCAAGCCAAGAAGGATGCTCTCCTCTATACAGTCCTCAACAACTAATTTATTCCACTAACATGTTTTTTATTTGATAATAGTACTTGATTCCAAGGCAAGGCTTCCCCCCCATTTAACATGGAAGGAAAAGCCCCTTGTTTTGGATTTGAATATAAAAGGGGTGGGGAAGCTGCTGAAGCTGACTCAGTTGGAGCTACAGCACTTGCCTGCCCTCCCTTCTCCCCCGCCAACTATGCCACCTGCTCTCCTGTAGCCTTTGTGCAACTGATACTGCTGGGCCAGGCAGGGGCTGGAGTGACCATGTGCCCCATGCCCTAGGCTGGAACAGGAGCTGCAAGGGGTAAGCAGTGGCAGGGTAGGGGCAATGGTGGGGTCATGTGGGAAGGGAGCAGAAGCAGTAATGAGGGGTGGGTAGCAGAAAGGCAGGTAGGTGGAAGGTGGGGTAGGCAGCAAAGGGGGCAAATCATGGAGCATCAGGCCATTTGACTTCGCTGCTGCTGCTTGACCTATTGCAGCAGGGATGGGGAAGGAGAGATGGAATATAAGATGACCCCCAATAGTTACATTGTATCAATGGAAATTAATAATAAATTTGTAAGTTTTCCACACATAGAATCTAATTACTGGGGGGAAGGTTTAAATTCAGAGGCATCTTGGATTCAGGTAAATATAGTATATCTTTCTGCTGATTAATTAGAAAAACAGTAGGAATACAGAATCTCATTATTTCATAAACATCAGCAAAGTTCCTGAACATATTAACTAACTCATGTATGTGACCAAGGTGGTTTTAAAAACAAAACAAACAAACCCAAAAATCTCAGCAAGTGTTCTCCTGAATTAAGTCTATAAACCATTGCCTGAAATAGTCCATCTTCTCTCTGCACCTCAGAAACACCTGAGGTATTATCCAGGAAGATGTATCCAGCTGAAACTATCTTTCAGAGCTATCAGGTTCTAGTTACTGCACTGATACTTTAATCCAGGGGTCGGCAACCTACGGCCCATAGGCTGATCTGACCTGTGAAACCATTACATCTGGCCAGTGGAACCAGGAGAGTATGGAGGTGTTTGATGGAGGAGGGCTTTGCTCGCGCTCCACCATGCCGCAGCTGGATGGGCAACAGAGAACTGCACTTGTGCTGCGTGGCAACTGGGCATTGGTGTAAAGCAACAACAGCAGCCAGGTCCTAGCACCAACCTGCCTCTGACCCAACCTAGCCTGCTGCCAAGAATTTTTTTCAGCACAATCGTGATATATTGCTATTCAAAACCCCACCCTACACAAATACCAATCAAGATCCATATTAATATTCCTTTAAGAACAACAGAAATGAATGAATTACATTAGCTTAAGATCCCAACAAAAAAATAAGATATCCATCCTGATTTTTACAGTGAATAGGGTGACTAATGATATATTGAAGGATTGCTCATGAACACTATACCATTACCATTTTTTATTTTACAAGAAGCAAATTTGTTTTAATCCATACAAACATGGAATGAGGCAACCTATTTTGACAAGCTTTTTGATTGTTCACAAAAAAATTTCTAAAACTGAACTAACGTTTCAGCATATCATGAAAGAAGCATTTTACCTGCCACTTCTCTCAAGTGCAAATATGATGCCTTTCTTCTGGAAAGGGAGCAGTCTTTCCCTCAGTTTTTCAGGTAGAAAAAGTAACTTAGCATCAATATTCTCAGAATAAGATGTTTCAACCTCAGAGGTTGCCTGCATTGCGTCTGCCATGTTGAACCTGAAACAAAAACCAAAGAAGAGTCACAAGTTGGGCACTGAATATTCTGTAATTCATTAAAAGACAAAGCTTTATAGGGCAATGGACAGTAGTTTTTTCAAAACGCAATTTTTTTCAATACGTATATGTATTCACCTGCATTACTTCCTCAATAAGAATATTTTTGCGATCGAAACGTTCTGTTTTTTTAAACTAAGACTGTTTTATAAGACACTGAAAAGTAACATTTGTTTGAAACTATCATAAGTGACCCTTTGACTGTGCTTAAAAAGTTCCAGAACCAACAAAATCAAGATCCTTTTTGTAATGATTAAAAAATTAAAATAAAAGGCAAGTAAGTTCAAATTCCTGGAAAACTGCATCAACAAGGAAATCAGGTGAACTTGTTTCCCAATCCGCTGTTTTACTCTTTTCATAAACTCAAATGAAACCCAGAACAACAAACTCAGAATAATCCAATTAAAACTGGTAGGCTTGATTTTATAGACAGAAGCCAAAAATGCAACTTTGAAAATCTTTTTTATTCAAATCTGTGAAAACTATCATCATACTCACATACACAGTGTAGAAAGAATGACCTCTTAAACCACAGAAGATTTTTCCAAGATGCTATAGAGCAGAGGTGTCAAACATATTGGGGGTATGAATTTCCATGAGAAATTTCAGCTCTAGTTTATCCCCATGAAATGTCATGTATGGAAATTCAATGATGCGTACATGTAGAATGCTTACCTGGCATGATAAACAGCGTGATTGGGACAGAGGCCAAGCTCCTGCGGAGCACAGCCTGGCCCCTGCGTGATCGTGGGACAAACTCCCACAGAGGCTAAGCTTGACCAGGCTCCATGGGAGTTCGGCTCCTGCCTGGGCTGGGACCTTGGTAGAGTGAGGGGCTGGCAGTGCCAGACTCCTGGGCACTATTAGCCCTGCCTCTGCAATCCCTGCCTCCTGGCACAGCCTTACCGGCACAGCCCCCAACTCCTACAGTGGCCATCATGCATGTGGGTACACAATAATTTGGTAAAATTCAAAAACATCTCTAATTTTGCATTATCCTGAAAATTTCAATCAACAAAAATCAAAATAAGTGCTTTAAAATAAATATTGATTTTAGCTGTCGCAATTAAAAAAAAAAAAATCAAATTCCGCCAAGCCTACCTAATAGTAAGGCCAGCAAAAGTTGTGTGCTTTTTCCTTCACAGCCAAAAACTTAACAGCTAGGGGCAATTTGGAAAGGAAAAGTATAGAGACCTAAAAAAAGATATGCATCTCAATTCAAAGCCAGGGTTGCAGCTTATTATGATCAATTTCAGTGCACCCTTAGCTTACATTAGCAGGTGGAAAATACCAGATGTTACAAGTAATAAGTAATACTCGTTCCCTTAAGAGACATTATGAACTTCTACATCATGTCACTGGTACTTTAATAAGACATATATTATAATTATATTATATAATTATGTTATAATGCTGTCAAAATATGGAATGGGCTTCCAAGGGAGGTGGTGCTTTCCCCTACCTTGGCGGTGTTCAAAAGGAGATTAGACAAGCACCTGGCTGGGGTTACTTGAGCCCAGTGCTTTTTCCTGCCTGGAGCAGGGGGTCCATGATCTTCTAATAGGTCCCTTCCAACCCTAAAAATCTATGAAATCTTTCTTAATCTTGGATATCTCCCTATCAGCTCCTTGTAATGTAATGTTCTTGCTTACTGAACAAACTTACTTTTTGCCTTCGTTATTTCATGGTCCATTCAACGATTTCCTATAAAACTGTGATGCTTACTTTTTCACCAGTTGTGCAAAGGTGCTCATTTATGGAAGGGTTCTTATTTAAAGGTTCTTACAATAATAAGTGGTTTTTACTGACAGTATGTTAATTATTTTGACTCAAAGCTAACAGATACATTTCAAAGTTTCCTCGTATATTTTCAAGGAATTAATCTCAGACAAGTTCCTAAAAGTGAATCCTTATTACACTAACTTCTAGAGAAGTAGTACTCCCAAAATGTTAGCCATTTTCAATTAGGTTATTACTCCCCTTCAGTTACATGATTTGAATGGCACAAGTTGCCTACTATCATTATTCCACTGACACAGTGTCCATCTGGCCCTTGTACCCGTTCCATCCTCCACCTTCCACATGACTTCTGGACCTGGACCTGCTGTTGTCCCAGTTTTGACCCCAGTAGCTTAGGGTGAAAGTGACTGGAAGATGCCAGTCTGCCTTTTAAAAGAAATCCTCAGTACTTTGGCAATACCTTGCTTTCTAACTTTGAAGGTACACACAAATAGCTCCATGCAGAATTACACCCAAACTTGTACGTAAACCTTGGGTTGCTGTCTTGCCCAGGAAAGTGGCTCTGGGTCTCCTCAGCTTGTGTAGAGAAGCACACTTGTCACTACTACAAAGAATTCAATTCACAACTGAGCACTGACCATACCATCACCATGCCATGAGTGACAACAGATAATGTGATGTCCTTAAACTGTAGCCCCAGATGCGTACAGCAATGACTAGTTTCTTGATGAGGGAACCGCAGAGAATAGACACTAAAAACCTCCAAACTGTCCAAACCCAAATACATAGGGGAGAGCAGTGGATGCGCGGTAACTCTACTTTAGCAAGGCTTATTTATTACAGGGATCCTGGTGTTCACTGTTTAACAAAAGCAAATTCTCAAGAAAGAGAGAAAGAATGAAATCTCTGATTAACCCCCCCCCAAATCTGTGTTTTTCTGCAATTAAAATGTAACACCACTATATATCTAGGTACTAGTTGAACACAATGTTTTATTGGTATATTTACCATTTGAAAGCCTACCAGTGCCTCAGTCGGTATAATAAAATACATTCTAAATATCTATAAATGTTGGCGTTTGACATCAGTTGTTTTTATTATGGAAAATCAGAGCTTCCCCCGCCCCCTTGGCTCACTGGGATGTGGGTCCAGCTGCAGCTGCCCCATCCCCCCCCACCTCCTCTGCTGCTTTGTGGCATTGAGCAGCCCTGATATGCCTTGTCCATGCTATTGCCCCTCACTCCTGACCCACAGCCCCCCAGCCCTGCTTGTGCCCCCCACTCCCCACCTCCAGCCCTGCTGCCAGGGCTATGGGACCAGGGATCCAGGTCTGCAGCTCCCTGCAGCAGCCTCTGAGCCCCAGCTACCACCCATGAGAAGTAGCAGCTGCTGCAATGGATCTGAGTGCAGACCCTAGCTCCTTCTCCCCCAAAGGTGGCACAGCCAGAGCTTGAGCCCTTTGTGGGGAGCTGATGCAGACTGCCCACTGTGGGCTCTTGGCTCCGCACCCTAGGCAAGATCCAGCACAGCAGGGCAGAGTGGGACCAGACGGAGAAGCTTCTTACTGCCACTGGGAGCTTGTGTTTTTCTGTGGCAAATGGAAAATCCGGATCCCTGCTCATTAGTAAAGGAAGGACATGTGGTCTAGACAAAAAAATGATATAGATATTTAATGGCTGTATCATGGTGAAAGAACGGTCAGCAATGGCTCACCATCCAATTGGGAGGAGGTATCAAATGGGGAACTGTCCTGCATCCAGTACTAATTAATCTCTTCATTAATTATTTGGAGGATGGGATTGTCTGCATACTTGGCAAATTTGCAGATAGCCCCATCCTGGTGGAGTTGCAGACATTCTGAAGCATAGTATTAGGATTCAGAATGACCTTAATAAACTGCAAATGTGGTTAAAAAAAAATCTGTCAAATGATGACATGCACTGGGATTGAATAATCACACACCAAGTAGAGAATGACTAGCTAGACTACGATACTGCAGAAAAGGATCTGGAGTTTATACTAGACTACAAGATGAATGAGCCAACAATGTGCTATTAATGGGGGAGGAGGGGAGAGGAAGCCAACAGTACACTGGAGTGCACAGGAAAAATAGCTTACTAGTTAAAGGAAGCAATTTTTCCACCCTACTTTGCAATGGTGAGTACTAGAAGTTATACAGCCAATGATGACGGACTCTGTGGCTGCAGGGACAGAACAACTCATTTTTGAATTGCAAGAAGTGAAATTAAGGTTGAATTATAAGGAGAGTTTTCTCATGAGTGGCTGAGCATTGGAACAGATTAGCTAGAGAAATTGTTGAATCTCTATCCTTTGAAGGGTTTTTAAGAACAGGTTAAACAAACACTTGTCTAGACTGGGTTAGACCAGATTGATTCAGTCTTGAGCAGGAAAAAAGGACATAACAGGGGCAGGCAATTATTTAGGCCTACGGGCCACATAGGCAGTTCTGGGGAACAGTCACAGGACAGTCAACTCTGCTCCCACTCCCCCTTCCCACACGCCCTGAAGCTCCTCCCCACCACCAGCCCCAGCAGCAGCAGCTGAGCACATAGTCCCAGCCCCAGTCCCACATGCAACCTGCCCTGCATCCACTTGCCCTTGCTGGAGCAGACCAGCTCGAGTGCTCCCATGTATACAGCCCTGACCCCAGATTGCCCTGTGCTTGCTCCAGACCCGCCCACCCACGATGAACAGTCAAAACGGTGGCCGGGCAGAAGCTGCCACTGGGCATAGGGGAAAAGCGACCACCTTCCCCTTGCTGCTGGGCCATAAGCTGGCTGCAGCCACCTGGAGCCCTCTCTCAGGCTGCCCAGCAGCCCCTCTCCCCTGCCACCACTTACTTGTTGGGCGGCCTAGAAGTGGCGGTGACAGCGGCGGAGAGGATCCACAGGGCAGCCCAGGTGTGGGCTCCAGGCAGCTACAGCAAGAACAGCTGCCAGTGGCGAGGGGGAGACAGCCACTTCTCCTCTGCACCCAGCAGCAGCTTCTGCCTGGCCACAGCTCACTGTGGGTGCGTGGTCAAAAGACGGGCATGGGCCAGGGCTGTGCACAGGGGTCCCAGCTGCTCCAGAGCTGGGCTGCTCTGGTGGAGGCAGGTGTGGGGTGGGCCAGGACCAGGGCTGCGCATGAAGGTCCCCATCAGTACCACAGACCAGCCGGAAGAAACCACTGCTGCCTTGGCTGCCTACAAGTGTCCAGCTGCCCCAGCCCCACTGCATGGCCGAGGCTGGCAGGATGCGCCTTGGGCCAGATGGCACCTGGGCCAAGTGGGACCTGCTGTGAACCAGAGTCCCTCCATGGGCTGGATCTGGCCCATAGGCTACATTTTGCCCACCCCTGCCCTAGAGCACCTCCTGAAGACCCTTCCAGCTCTGATTTTCTGTGACTAACCCCAGAGCCAAGCACCAGAGACAGCAGAGCTCAAGGAAGCATTGGACATGTGCTTTCCTTTTTCACTTTCTTGGATAGCCCCGAACCACCTATTCTTGTGCTGGCAGGGAACTTCTTAAAACAGCCCCAAAAAATGCCCGAAAACAATACACACGCATGCTGATAAAGTAAAGACCCTTTCTATAACAGTTCGCCCAGCTAGGGGAAGAAAGTCTGTTCCAGCAATAGATGGGGTGGCTCCTGACCGTGCGCCCCACCACGCGCGCACCACGCGGGACGCTCAGGACACCAGCACAGCGGCTGAAATCGCTCGTGCAGCAGGCCTTGAAAGCGCAGGTCAGCGGCGCCCGGCTTTCAGACCCCGGGAGTGACGGGACCTCCCGCCCCCGCCGCGCGCTGAGGATGAGGATGAGGAGGCCCGGCCCCCACGCCTCGCACCTGCAGCAGCCCCGAGGCGTTCGCGCGCTCCCGCTCAAACCCCCGGCGGCCGGAAGTGGCGTGTGGAGAGCGTGTGACGCACCGCCCAGCCCACAGACCATCGCCCCGCCCCCCGACGGGCGCTTCCGGTGGGCGGGGCTTGGCGCGGAGGACGCCCCTCTCCGCTTTTCCGTGACGTGTGTGTCCCCCTCCCTCCCCACGCCTTGGCTGGGGCCCGGCCGCGGAGCCCCGAGGGGCGGCGAGCGCTGTGGGCAGTGCGGTTGCCGCGTGTTTTAGACTAGGAACTGAAGCCACTACCTTTCCCAGGATGCTTTGCGCTATCCAGGGGCTGCGGCATTTCCTGGTGCATGCCGGGACATGTAGTCCTAGGGGAGCGTTCTCTGCGGGTACAGAAGGAGGGTTAACGTCTCTCGGAGGGCCCAGCGCCCACTTGATCGTCATTGGTGGTGAAACGCATCCGTCACCGCACCCCCTGTGCTGCTATTGGTTATCCCTCCCTAGCGCGGGTGGGTCTCCGTATGCCGGTTTTGGCGACGCCGTCTCTCCATTGGTGCACCGAGAAGTCAGTCGGCCGAGCCGCCCTGGTGATTGGCT